AGGACTCGCTTGTTTTTCAACCTGAGGTAGTCTATATTGCTGTTGAGGTGCTTGAGGCCTGTATTGATTCTGAGTGCCCTGATTTCCACCCCAAGAGAAGTTTGGGTGGTTCCTCCAGTTGGGATTGTAAGTGTTCCCATATTGGTTTGTGTGGCCCCTATTTGAATTACCCACAAAGCAGACAGACTCTGGATTTGCGGGGCATATGTCGCTCGTGTGACCCTCTCCACATATTTCACAAAAAACTTGAACCTGTTGTACCGGTTGTGCTTGTTGCTTGTTGATACTCAAGTTCATCCGGTTGACTTGATTGGCCAGTGTAGCAATCTTCGCTGATAATGCTGAGACGACATCTAACTCAAGAACCCCTACAGATTTTTGCACTGTGTGTCTGCCCATCTCTCCTTGCCAATCCGGATTGCTCTTGGAAAATTTGTTCAACAAAGCATATATCTCATCAAAGCTTTTCTCCAACACTTGACCCCTAGTTGCAGCATCTACCACGATCTTAGTTTCAGAATGTAGCCCTTCTATGAAAGTGTGAGCTAACACTTCATTCGTCTGATTTTGATGAGGACAGTCTCTGAGTAGCCCCTTGAACCTTTCCCAAGCTGAGTACAACGATTCACCTGCTTTCTGTTTGAAGGCCATTATTTCACTTCTGATCTTTGCAGTTTTGCCTGAAGGAAAGAACCTTGCCAGAAATTTTCTTGCCAAATCATTCCATGATGTAATGGAGTTAGCTGGTTCTGCCTTTAGCCATCGCTTAGCCTCACCCAACAGAGAGAATGGAAAAAGTGTGAGTCTCACATAATCTGGAGTGACCCCGTTAGTGATATAAGTATCACTAATCTCCAAGAAGTTCAGAATATGCTGCTGCGGATCCTCATGTGGAAGACCCATAAATTGCCCGTTTGCATGAAGTAGCTGGATCATACTCTGTTTCAGCTCAAAGTGCCTGGTGATCCAGGGCTTCACAATACTGGAGGTGACATTAGCAATGCTGGGCATTGCCACCTCCTGAACGGCCATGGGTTGCTCCTCTGCCATGTCCACAGGAAATTGAACAAGTGGCTGAATATTATTCGTGTCCCTTGCTTCCCTCAACCTCCTGTGAAATGTTCTCTTAGGTTCACGATCAAAGCCTTGAAGTCGGTCCTGGCTTCTGACCCTACGCATTCAATCAAAGTTCCTGATATCTGAGCAACAATCAAGTAACGTTAGACTAGACAAAATAAACAATTAAAGCAAAAACTAGCAAGTAGCTAATATTCAAGTCCCTGGCAACGGCGCCAAAAACATGTTGCGGCCAAACGCACACGCAAGTATACGTGGCCGACAAGTAATATAATGATAAGTTGAGTGTCGAACCCACAGAGACTTGTGTAAACTACTCACGAAATTACTCAAATTGCTATTCAATCTAGCTAAAATCAAAATCCAATGATATGATTATATTATACTACGATTCTAAGTAAAACTAAATTATCAAGTAAAGAATTGATTGTTGTGTATTCAGTAGAGACAAGTATTCCAGGGTTGTGATCGATTCACCATTCGTATTGTGTTCTAATTAACTCTCCCTTTCATATAATTCACCCATGATTGCTAATTAATCGATAAATGCTCTCATAGCCTTCTCCCGAAGTACTACTCACCTATTCTCAATAGATTAACGCCTATATTCCTATAGAATCAACCTATTAAGAATGCATTAAGATTACGATATTTAATTAAGCACGGTGGCTAGGTATATTCCTATCCTAACCACAAATCCGCTCCCCCTAAGGGTTAAGATCATGCTCTCTTTAATTCTTCTCTAACCTAAACATGGCTTTCCCAAGCATAGCATAGATAGTAAATAGAACCTAACTGTTGGCCAGACAATTAAGCAATTAAACACAGAATTGAAGAAACAACCATATAGTGGTGAATTATAATCAAGGTCAAGCTAATATCAAACAACAATATTCATGGCTAAATCACAACCCCAGAACAATGGGTGTTTAGCCACTCATACTCATGTTCATCACAATAGGGTTCAAATTCATCACAATTAGCAAAAACAACGAGAAGAAAAGAAGAAACTGATGGTTAAATCTCCTCCTTGCCTCTTGCCTCTCTATTTCTCCCTCTAGACTATGAAAAACTTGATAAATAATCCTTGGGCGAGCTTGACTTTATATAGGTTAAGTGGGGTTTCCTCCAGATTTCCAATTATACCCCTGGAAAACAATTTCCGAAATTCGGACTAGCGCGGTCGCGCATCTGACCGCGCTAGTAAGCCAACCTTCTATTCTGGACGCGCTACAATATGTGCGGGCGCGCACCTGGGCGCGCTAGCCCAGCATTATACTTCCTTGATTTTTCTCCTCGTCTTCGTGCGTCCTTAGCTCCGAGGGGTCGTTTTTGCTCTAAAGTAGTTCCAATCACCTCCTTAAGGCATCACATAGGCTCCTCATCCTGCAATGTATATGATTCACAATTAGAGCCCATTTTTTATCAATTAACCACATTATAACATCGGAACATAATCAAACGGGAGCATAAATAATCGCTAAATTACCTAAATTCAGCCTATTATCATATTTCACAGACATGTGGAGTAACCTCTAACATTCCACTATTGGAATCAAAGAACACAACATCCAAACCTTCACAAGAAACTCGGAGTGCTCCACAGTTTACCCGACGATCATGGTGGCTTATTTGAGCATTGCCATTTAAATTTAATAAAAATTTAGAGGAACGGCCAGCTATTATATTACTGTTAATGGAGTGAGCAGGCCAGTCACTAGGCAAAGCGTCAAAGGTTGCATCCATGAAAAAATGAGCCTTTTCTTTGTAGGGTAAAATTGGTTTACATTAAATGATTGAATGACAACATGACACGTGGAACCGAAACAAGGTAGAAAGTAAATTGTGTAGTAACCAGCACCGAGAACAACAACTGCAATTGACTTCGGGATGACCCCGAAGAGAATATGACCAATGTGAGCAGAATCAAATGCTTGCCATCGGATAGCATTCAATGAAAAATATTCCCTAGCATTAAATGGGCAGCCATTGCTAAGAATATTTGCATTCATGAGCGGCCGTTACATATTCATTAATGGCCCTCTTTATTGTCATTTAAGAGGAGCTTGATTCTAGAATCTTGTTTCCCTTGGTATAGATATAAATAGTAGACTAAACAACCACTGTTACACACAAAATTCTTGGCAAAACTTATGCTACATTCTATTCTCAAGCTAAATCAAATAACTTTACTTGCTATTTGTATTATTCTTATTTCTGCCCCCGGAGGCACTACTCTCGGAGCCAGCCTAGTCATTTCCTTTTATTTTAACTGCTAAGTCTTATTTTTAATCTAGTTTATTTATCATTTTTGGATCAACAAATCAGTTCGCTTGTCTATAAACCACGTAAAAAATTCAACTGTACCATTTTACGGGTAAACAAATTTGGCGCCCACCGTGGGGCTTAGACAGTTGCGTAATTGAGTTTGTCCTTGCGTCTATTACTAACTTGTTTGATGCTTTGTTTCTTAGCAAAAAATCGAAAATGGTAGCTAAGGATGTCAACAGCGCACATAACATTGAGGGACACAAAAATCTACCTCCACACGAGGATTTAATCAGCGACACCCGCAACGAGGGGGATGAGGCAACCCCGGTCCATGGAGGACAATACCCGCGACATGTAGGGGAGCCAACTCCCGATGACGCAGAAGACGAACACGTTGCCAAAACAGTAAGGATCTTGAGAGAGCAACAAAAGGCCATCATGGGCCATCTCTTAAGGCAGGACCAGGTCATGACGGAATTAAAGCAAGCGTTGTAGGCGCTTCCAACAACGCAAACGAAAGAGGCCCGGCTCCGCCCGACGCTCATGCAAATCAGACGGCTCGAAGAGTTGATAACAATACCCCTAGGGGTGAGGCGGCTTTGACAATACCGGGGGGGACCGGTAGAGGATCCGGTAACAACAACGATAATGATCCCTTCAAAACCAAACTCATGAGATTCATGAGGGAGATGAACGAGCGGATTATTCAGAACGCGAAGTAGTTTCACGCCCGAATGGTCCAGATTCTGGGCGCACCACCAATTTTGAAGGGCCCGGATTCGAAAAAATATACTCAGTTGCCATTCAAATCGAGCACAGCACCGGAGTTAATCCGGAGAGGTTCAACATGCCGGACATACCAAAATACAACGGGATTTCGGACCCTCAGGAGCACATCACAACTTACACAACAGATGTGAAAGGGAATGATTTGGCTCAACATGAGATCGAATCGGTTCTACTGAAAAGGTTTAGAGAAACCCTCACGAAGGGGGCCTTGACATGATATTCGCTTTGACTTGAGAATTGAATTGAATCTTTTGAAATGCTTGCATATTCATTCATTAAGGCTTATGATGGGTACAAAAAGGTCCAAGCCAGAAAGACGAACATATTCAGGATCGCATAGGGTGAGTCCGAATTGCTGCGGGAGTTCGTGATTGATTCCAAAAAGAGAGGATGGTGCTATCGGCCGTATTGGACGAATGGATACCGGAGGTATTCACAAAAGGTTTGAACCCGAGGAGCTCCACGCTCCCACAAGTTGAAGGAAAGCCTGCTCGAATTCCAAGCGACCACATGGGTGGATGTCCATAACCACTATGAGTCAAAAATAAGGATATAAGATAATCATCTCGGTTTCTCGACATCGACCAAGGGGCGGGAACGAGACAAGAACCGAGATAAGTTCAAGGATGATCTTGATGCAGACCGGAGATCTTTTAAAGGTTGGCTCTTGCCTTACGAGAGAGCGAGGGACGCGACAGCAAAGGTTTATGGTCCTCAGATAGGTTCGCTCTCGAAAGAAGAACTGATCGTGGCCGAAATAATAGATCGTTGCAGGAAAAAGAGGTAACAGGGACCCGGGATGCCACTTATCCCAAGTTGTCAGATTACAATGCAACATCAGTGTAGTGGAGTTGGTATCAGCGATGAGGAATATCAAAGAAGCACGATTCCCGAAGCCAATCAGATCTGATCCCAGCCAGAGGGATCCTAACTTGTGGTGCGAATATCATTGGACTCACGGCCACAGAACCAGGGACTACCGGCATCTGTGCGAGCAGGTCGCAAAGCTTGAAGAACAGCCATCTTAGGGAGTTATTCAGCGACCGAGCCAAGAACAATTACGGTTGCAGCCGGGACACCGTAGAGCCCTCGAAGATAGGAGAAGACCCTCCTCGGTTGACTATCAACATGATTTTCGGAGGGAATGAAATCAATGATTTAACCTTCTCGGCGGCCAAGAAGACAAAGGTATTTGTGACCTACAGGAAGAGACTCCGGGAAGTCGCAAAAAATAACATCACCTTCACGAAGGAAGACAGCGATGGACTTCTTCTACCGCATAACGACACCCTGGTAATTTCTCTTAATGTTCTAGATTTAAAGATTAAGCGTGCTTTGGTTGACCCAGGAAGCTCAGCCAACATAATTCAGTGGAGAGTGCTGGAACTAGCCAAATTAACCAGAAGTATCATTTTGGCAACAAAGCTCCTCGCCGGGTTCAACTGGGCAAGTGTGACAAGCCAAGAAGAGATCCTGTTACCCACGAACGCCGGAGGGGTAACAAAGACCATCTTATTTGAAGTGGTGGATGGCGACATGGGCTACAACATAATTCTCATTAGGCCATGGTTACATGAGATGAAGGCCACCATTAATATATCACCAACTGCTGAAATTCCCGACCCCAGAGGAAATCAAGCAGATAAGAGGAGATCAACCTATAGCAAGAGAAATGAATGCAGTATCAATTTCCAGCAATAAAGGGAAGGAGCCCAGCAAATAGCAATTATAGGAACCGATGCCTGCTCCCATGCCAAGTGAAGACGATAAAGGCAAGGAGTCATCGGAATCCCACCAGGTACCGAGATACTTCCAGGTACCGGAAGAGACAGGTGCGACCAAATCCACGGCGGAAGAACTCGAGCAAGTCCCTTTGTTTGAAGAATTCTTGGAGAGGAAGTTTCACTTGGGAACATGACTCAATCCTGAACCCAGGTCAGGATTTATTAATTTCCTTAAAGCTAATGTTAATTGTTTTGCACGGTGGCACTCGGATATGACAGGTATCCCACTAGAGGTGGGCGTGCACAAACTAAGATTGGACCCGAGCATCCCTCCGGTAAGGCAAAAGAAATACTCGATAGCCGAGGTCAGAAACAGGTTTGTTAACGAAGAGGTAACTCGACTACTTGACATTGGTTCACTCCGGGAGGTAAAGTATCCCGAATGGTTAGCTAATGTAGTTGTGGTTCCGAAAAAGAATAACAAGTTCCGAATGTGCATAGATTAAAAATACTTGAATAAGGCGTGACCCAAAGACTCGTTCCCATTGCCAAAGAATGATCAAATGATTGATGCAATGGCCAGGCACGAGTTAATGAGTTTCCTCGATGCCTATGCCGGGTAAAATCAAATCAAGATGAACCCAGAAGATTAGGAAAAAACTTCGTTCACAACGAACTTTGTCACATATTGTTATAATATGATGCCCTTCGAGCTCAAAAACGTCGAAGCCACTTATCAGAGGCTCGTGAACAAGATGTTCGAAAAGCAAATAGGTAAAATAATGGAAGTGTATATATATGACATGTTGGTAAAGTCTTTGAATGTAGGTAATCATTTAAAGCACCTCCAAGAAACCTTCGATATCTTTAGGAAGCACAACATGAAGCTCAACCCAGAAAAATGGGCGTTCAGGGGTGGCTCCGGTAAGTTCTTGGGTTTCTTGGTTTCACAAAGGGGGATCGAGGTAAAATCCCGATAAGATCAAAGCCATCGAGGACTTCCCGGACCAGCTGACAAGCGTAATACTAGAACATGGGCTAATCGGAAGATTGGCGCATTAAGCAGGTTCATCTCTCGATCATCAAAAAAATGTCATCACTTCTTCTCACTTCTGAAGAAAAAGAACAATTTCGAATGGACTCCGGAATGTCAGCAGGCCTTGAAAGACCTGAAATGGTATCTATCAAGCCCCCCATTACTATCAAAATCGGGGGAAAGTGAACAATTGCTAATATACCTAGCGGTCTCGGAGGTAGCGGTAAGTGCTGTTCTAGTCCGGGAGGACGAATGTATGAAATTTCCTGTCTATTATGTTAGCAAATTCTGTCAGGCGCAGAGACCCGTTATCCGCACCTCGAAAAGCTGGCCTTAGCTCTTATAGTCGCCTCTCGTAAGCTTAGGCCTTATTTTCAGTGCCACCCGATAGTCGTTGTGACAACCTTCCCCTTGCGGAATATTCTTCACAAGACCGAGTTATCAGGCCGTTTGGTCAAATGGGCAGTCGAAATTAGTGAGTTCGTATCGAATACACGCCTAGGACTGCGATCAAATAACAAGTTTTGGCTGACTTTGTGGCCGATTTCAGTCCCAGGTTATTACCCCTAGCTGCTAAAGAAGCGGTGGTGGTGTCGGAAACGACATCAGAAGTTTGGACCTTGTTCATAGATGGAGCTTCCAATGTGAAAGGATCCGGGCTCGAGGTGGTTCTAATCACGCCCTCGGGGGAAACCATGAGGCAGGCCATTAAAACTGTTTCGTTAACTAACAAAGAAGCCGAATTATAAGGCTTTGGTTGCAGGACTCGAACTGGCCCGGGGACTTGGCTCTAAGGTCATATAGATCAAATGTGATTCCTAGCTGGTGGTAAACCAAATGTACGGGATTTTCGACACAAAGGAGGAACGCATGCAGCAGTATGTGAATAAAGTCCAAGCATTGCTTGCACGATTTAGGGAATGGTCAATCACACACATTCCGAGAGACAAGAATATGGAAGCAGATTCATTGGCTTATTTGGGGTCGTCTACGAAGATGAAACGATCCGACTCTGATACTGTCCTTCGACTTCTGCATTCGGGACTAGGTGTGGACAACTATTGTGAAGTAAATACAACTAACCTAGTTTTGGACTGGAAGAATGAGTTCATCGAGTATATTCGGCATGGTAAGTTGCCTGAAGGCCCGAAGGCGTCCCGGACACAGCGCACCAAAGTGGCTTGCTACATACAGCCTCTTGGGTGGACAGCTATATAGGAGATCGTTCCAAGGCCCATTAGCTCGATGTTTAGGTGCCTCAGAGGCGGATTACGTGATGAGAGAGGTTCATGAAGGAAATTGTGGGAACCATTCCAGTGCAGATTCGTTGGTGCTAAAGCTGGTTAGGGCAGGATACTACTGGCCCCGGACGGAGCAAGACGCAAAGGCATTCATTCAGAAATGCAACAAGTGTCAGCGCCATGCATAGTTGGTGCACCAACAGGCGGAAATCCTGCATTCGGTACTGTCCCCATGGCCATTCATGAAATTAGGGAAGGATATAGTTGGTCCGCTACCACCGGATCCTAAAAAGGTAATTCCTTTTAATTTTAATCGATTACTTCACTAAATAGGTTGAAGCAGGGCCTTATCAAAAGATCGGTGAACGCAAAGTGATCGACTTCCTATGGGAACACATAATTATCCGTTTCAGAATACCGAAGGAGATTGCCTGCTATAACGGACCAGAGTTAGTAGGCTCCAAAGTCACAAAATTTCTTGAAGACCTGAAAATCAAAAGGATTACATCCTCACCATACCATTCGAGTACTAATGGGCAGGCAGAGTCGACCAATAAGGTGATTATTCAAACCTCAAAAAGAGATTAGAAACGGCTAAAGGCAAATGGTCCAAAGAGTTACCGGGCGTGCTATGGGCGTACCGGATGATGCCAATTGTCCGGAATATAGATTTGGACAGAAAGTAAATACAATACACTGAAAGAGACTACGCTGGTTGCGGGTCTCCTCGAGAGATGCAGCTCGCCTAAGTCTCTGTATCATCCATGCTTCTACGCCCATTAGGCCGTTAGAGGTACATGTGCCTGTGTAACAAAAATGCACAGCAAGTGTAGCATGAGTACAAAAATAACGTGTACTCAGTAAGTATACCGTCTAATCTCGAAGAAGTAGAGACGAGAGGTCGACTTCGTCACCTACTAGTGGTCCAATGATAATATACCAATAATTTAGTAAATTGAGAGTTTTCATAAAAATGACTGTAACTCAAATAGCATGAGGGAAGTAAACAATTCTTTCGTTTATAGGAAATTCCCAAATTCATTTCATCATTTATACATTTATCTCAAGTTAGGGAGAAACAAATATCAACATCCATGAATTTCAAGGCAAGCAATACAAGCATGCGCAAATCATGCCGAGGTCGTACGGCCTGATCCAATAATATTTAAATCATGCACTGCCAGAAGGTCGAATGGCGCGAACCATAGATGCATCTATTTAATCTACCGAGGCGTTCGGCCCGTTCCATAATAGATAAACACATTCAAACAGTCAAATCAAGAACTCACCAAGGAGCAATTATCCAATAAAAAGCAATCTCTCTCTTTTTAAAAGTCAAGAAACGACGTCTAATCTTTTAGAAATCTATTTACACGTTCAATATGTTCTAAGCATTTTAAATTGACAACAAGATTTCAAATATTACAGGTAAAGCATGCTCTTGGGCCCTAGACTACCCGGACATAAGCATAATAGTAGCTACGCACGGACTCTCGTCACCTCGTGCGTACGTAGCCTCCACAAATAGGAGCACATATCCAATTAATTCACCTATGGGGACAATTCCCTCTTACTAAGATAGAAAGGAGACTCACCTCGCTCCGAAGTTCCACAACCGGCATTCCACGCCCTTTCGAAGACTCAAATTGATGCACAACATTCCGAAACTAGCCAATGATTATGTAAACCAATTAATACATGTTCAATTACTCATAATAATTCAATTTATAACAATTTCTAACCCCGATCGAAAAGTTGACAAAAACGCCCTGGGACCCACGTGCCTGGATTTCGAAATGTTTCGAAGATAAAGTTTGCCCATAACCTCACGAACTCAAATATATAATTTACTCTCGATTTCATGTCCAAAATCGTGGTCAAAATCCAAGAAATACCAATTTTCTAGGTTTTTCTCAGACTCCCAAATTTCTACCAATTTTCATGCTAAAATCTATACATAATCAATGTATTTAACTCAAAACTAGCATAAACCACTTACCTCATGCATGGTGGTGAAAATAGCACCTCAAAGTTGCTCCAAAATCGGCTCCAATGGAAGAAATGGGGTTGAATGAACCCAACCCCCGATTTAAAGAACCTCACTGCCTCCAGCATTTCCGCACCTGCGGTGCACCAGCGTCACCTGCGGAAAATGCATCGCAGGTGCGGTACTCTTCAAGCTTGGCGATATCCGCTTCTGCGATCACTCACGCGCACCTGCGCCTTCGCACCTGCGGGTGCCCTTCCGCTCCTGCGACCCAGCTGTCCCTCACGCATTCCGCATCTGCGGAGCTTACCATGCTGATGCGGAAATACCCTCGCATCTGCGGCCCCTCCCAGCTCTGCCCAAATGCGCTTCTACGACCACGAAGCCGCACTTGCGGGCTCGCACCTGCGGCCCTCTTCTCGCAGGTGCGGTTACACCAGAAGCCCAGCTGCTTGAGTTCTTCCTCAACTTCAAATTTCCATCCGTTAACCACCCGGAATCCACCCGAGGCCCCCGGGACCCCGTCCAATCATACCAACCAGTCCCAAAACATAATGCGGAACTGCTCGAGGCCTCAAATCACATCAAACAACACCGAAATCATGAATCACACCCCAATTCGAGCTTTTTGAACTTTAGAACTTCAAATTTCTACATTAGATGCCGAAACCTATCAAATCACGTCCGATTGACCTCAAATTTTGCACACAAGT